TCACCATACGAAGCACAGGAGCATTAAGCTACTATTTTAAGCTGGTATTCTGTGAGAGCGTGGTCCTACCACGGTCGAACCGATCCATTCGTGCTACAACTAATATAACTAAAGCGTGACTCTACCACGTAATAATTTCCTCACGAAATTTCCTTCAACGTGAAACACGTGATAAATCAACACTTAAAATTGCAATTTAATTGGTGCCGGCGGGGATCGAACCCGAGTTGTTTGCTTACTGTGAAATTTACAGTGAGCACTAAGCCCCTGAACTACAACGACTCGGTAAACTTAAATATGTATGTCCATTACTGTAAGTCCATAAGTTACAAACCGTAACGTAAGTTACAAACCTTAAATTCATGACATCTACGAGTAGATCAACTTGGCACTATTACGCAGGTCGCAGGTAATAAACCGACTTCTAGATAGATAGACTTATTTCTTCCTTTCTACTGTGAATCCCTTTTTACTGGAAATGAGGCATTCCATCTTAGTCCTCAGGGGTGACAACGCACCTGCATTTTGATTCTTAATCGAGGATAGATGTAGGTGTCACCACAGCATCCACTTACCATCAGGTGGACTGTGTGCTCGTTTGTTACCCTTATTCTATAAAAAAAGGAAACCTGCATGTTTCTGAAACATATTTCGAAAACATGTGAAATTCACTAATACGGATTGAGACAGCGCGGCGGACACTTCCTTGCCCTAAAACGCTCTCAGAAGTGAGAGGTGCCTGTGCCCAGGAGTGGGACATATATAGGCTGTAACCATACTCAAGTCTACAAATACTCTCCTTTTGAGTCAAAGAAATACATTAACACTCACACCTGTCACCCAGAGGGGTAGGCAGAGACTACAGACTTCCATTTGGCACGATCCTGACACACCTCTCCTGCCTCCTCCACAGCCATATATTCTCGTCGGTTAAGGGTACTTCTAATTTGGCCCATTTTCAATATATCGCCAATTTGGTCGATAAACTTTCGCCTAGGACGTCCCTTTTCGACTGTGCAGTTCACTTCTGCAACATAAATTTTCTTTGTCACTCTTTCCTCATTCATTCCTTCCACATGACTAAACCACCGAAGCATTCCTTTCTTAATCCTGATCACAACATCATCTTGCAAACCACATTCCTAACTCAAGAAATACATAACATATTATTCATCTTTCATGTTATCTATACGTAAGTTTGTATGTAAAAACTGTCTGTTTGTCTGTTGACTGGGCTTCGAAATAGCTGAGTCGATTTTGATGAAACTTTACGAACAGATAGAGAGCAATGCCAGAAGGAATCAAGGTTAAATTTCATCCAAAAAACGTGATGATTTTTTAGAAAAGCGAAAAACTGTTCAAAAAAGTTCTTTGCTGTATCTTAAATCTAAATAACGCCACATTAATAAACCTTACACGAGCGAACCAGGACGCGTCGCTAGTTTATAATATGTTTATGTATTTATTTATTTATGTATATATGTGCGTATTTGAATACCAGCGTAAAATAGCACCTTAATGCTGCTGTGTTTCGTATGCGGAGACCCTTTTTACTGGAAACGAGACATTCCAACTTAGTCCTCACGGATGACAACGTATATGCAATTTGATTCGTAGTCAAGGATAGATATAGATGTCTATGGGCCACAACAACCCCTTACCATCAGGTGAACTGTGTGCTCGTTTGTCATCTTTATCCTATAAAAAAGTGTATGAATATGTGTAAGTATTTATGAATGGATGTGTGTGTGTGTGTGTGTGTGTGTGTGTGTGTGTGTGTGTGTGTGTGTGTGTGTGTGTGTTTTTACCGTATAGTGGCAGTGTATGAATATCCACAACCCTTTATCATCCCGTGGGTGTCATGAGAGGCGACAGAGGGAAGTAAATCAGGGAATGGGCAGCACCATCTTCCTAATAAGGACTAAAAATAAAAACTGTGACAAATATGGGGATATTGATGATGATGATGATGTTTGGGCCTATGAAGCAATTGTGGTGGGCAGCTTAATAAGCTATAACGGTAAGGGTATATGCGTATTTAGATGTGGATATATTTATATTCTCGTATCCATATGTGTTATTATAGATAATTATTCGTTATTCCTTTTCTTTTAATCAAAAATAATTAATTAATTTATTTTAAGTAAACACTATATCTTTTGTAACTTTATCTTCACTTTGCCTCACCTCACATAAATTATTCTCTATCACAAGTTACAACACCTTGGACTACAACATAGGTTAAGTTCTTCGCGGAAAAACTTAACCTACGTAACAAATGTATCTTTTAACTAAAATCGATTATGTGCTTGAATAATTCATTGGATAGATCGAATAATGATTGCTATTTTTGGCCTTCTCATAAGAAATGTCGACAATTGCTTTCAACCCGCAATCGATATTTTCTCAATCAACGAATAATCGATTGGTTAACTTTGATAATCTCTCTATGATCTTCTAAACTTAATTAGAATATTTTTAAATAGAACAAAAACTTGACGGAATAGATTTTGCAACAAAGGAAAAATAACTACACGAATCACAAACGACAGAAGGTAGCAGGGTGCTCGTCCAGAGAATCCGCTACAACCTTATAATATCTTCCAGTGTGTATTATGAGAAACGAAAAAAGGAAATGAAGCAAGAGATGAGAATTTGTTACGAAGTAGAACCACGCTGCAGCTATGCTATACTAGTAGCAGGAATGGGTCGGCTCAACCGGGGTAGGACCACGCTCTCATAGAATCTCAGAGAATACCAGCGTAAAATAGCAGCTTAATAATACGTACTGTGTTTCGTAGTAATAGATGAGTGTGGAGATCCGATGACCCTTTTTCCCAAAAACGAGGGATTCTATCTTAGTCCTCAGGCGTGACGACGCATATCTGCGTTTTTATTCGTAATCGAGGATAAATGTAGATGTCTATGGGCCACAGCATCCACTCATCCATCATACCATCAGGTGGACTATTTGTCACCCTTATTCTATGAAAAAAGCGACATCTTCCTGCTAACAACTTAAAATAAAAAAGTGCGCTTACAAATCCTTCTATCAAGCTAGACGACTACGGCAAATATCCTCCTATATCATATCGGCAATGCATAGTGGAAGAACCTGTTCAGACAGCAGAGGACTTTGTTTTGCTGTTTTATGATGATGATGATGATGATGATGGTTTTATTTTCATATGATTTGTATTAAAATTGTTTCCTATCTGTAAATCGTGTATTGATTGTTAAAATGTATAAACATAGGGTGAAATCAAAAATGAGGTTCTTTTTTTTAAAGAATAGGGTGACAAACGAGCACACAGTCCACCTGATAGTAAGTGGATTCTGTGGCCCATAGACATTTACATTTATCCTCGATTAAGAATCAAAATGCAGATGCGTTGTCACCCGTGAGGACTAAGATAAAATGCCTCGTTTTCAGTAAAAAGGGTCTCCGGTTCTCTACACTCACCATACGAAACACAGCAGCATGGAGCTGCTATTTTACGTTGGTATTCTGTAAGAGCGTGGTCCTACCCCGGTCGAGCCGACCCATTCGTGCTACAACTATAATATAGTTGCAGCGTAGCTCTACCACGTAGGAAATCCTGCCATCCAAGTGTTAATGGAGGTTCCTGCCATCCAAAGCAAAATTGTTTACCGACGTCCCTGATAGCCCGAATAACCTAGTCTATAATGTAACCTATGTAGCTCAGAGGTTGTCGCGCTTGTCCAAAAAAGTCTAAGTTCGATTCGAACCAACGAAATTAATTCACCATCAAATATCTGCAACTTTAAGTATCTTATTTCTGTGAACTGTGTTGCAGAGCATGTTGACAGACTCTATACATCCCACGGCTGAGTACAGGCCTCATCTAATTTCTGACAGGTCTATGGAGCTATGAGACCATAGTTTTGTTAAATATTATAATCGGACTGAGAAATATGATAAATAAGATCGTAAACTTTGAATACACTTATTTTATAGTCAACACCGCGTTTATTGGATAACAATGTAAAATAGTATCATAAATAGATCGCTGGCACTTGTAACTCCACCGGGGTAGGACCACACTCTCAAAGAATATCAAAGTAAAATAGCAGTTTTATGCGGTTGTGTTTTGTATGGTGAGTGTAGAGAACCGGAGACCCTTTTTACTAGAAACTAGGTATTCCGTCTTAGTCCTCAGGCGTGACAACGCATCATTCATCGAGGATATATGTAGATGTCTATGGGTCACAGCATCCACTTACCATCAAGTAAACTATATACTCATTGGTCACTCTTATACCATAAAAATACCAGATGCTTCAGTGTATTAATGAGTTTCACATGTTCTTAAAATATATTAGTCCTCAAAAATACAGGTTTACTTACGCAGTGCTGATTTACCACGTGCTCGGAGGACACGTGGTAAATCAGCACTTTAAACTGTAAATGCAATTCGGCACCAATGAAAAACACAATTTCATTGGTGCCGAAGCCGATCTGACACCGCTCGCGTATTGTAATATTTACGGTGTACGCTACCACGGCTAATTTGCATTATATATTTTATTAACACTGACTTAAGAAACATATTTCTTTAACTAATATCAAAACCATTCAAAGCAATATTAAAGTTGTCGTCGCTCTACACAATAAACGTACCACGTATTGTATTTGTTACAAATTTTACCACACACTATTCGTAGACGCTAGCACGTTTAACCGGGAGTGAAACGGCGCGGCTAAATGCAGCCGCCACACGTCTGAACGTAGCTTTAATTTGTTGGCAAACTCTTGACTAATTAACGTTGTACGCAACGTTTTGTTGGCATAAATATAATTATCCGAGTGCGAGCGGGACGGAGTCCGTGGCAACTTTCCAAGATGAATTTGATGTTTCGGAAGAACTTCAGCACCGAGAAGACCACGAGTGGAGGGGGGAGGCGGTGGGGGGAAGGCGAAAGGGGCGTTAGGTGCAGGGCGGAATGCAAAGCGGCAGAATCGCGACCGATTCTCCTGCATGGAGGAGCATCACTACAGGACACACTTGTTCTTCTCGGCACCGAGGACCAGCACACAGTACAATGATGGCTCAGGTAACGTAATGGTGATGTTTGTGTGTGTGTTGTGTTAACGCGGTTCTTGTCATCTTTGTGTGTTTTTGCGGATACAGTTGCTCATGATACCAGTTTATTTATTTTACTTCTTCTAACTAATTACTGGTACAATACATTTCGGAACTAAAGTTCCTAAATGTATTGTAACAGTCATTTCTGTTATATTATCATTATACTTCTTTGTGTATTATAATTGAATCTTGATAAAATTAAAGTTAATTTAATTTTCAAGATACCTTAAATAATATATGCAGATCATAGCAAATTACACTCGCTGTTTTTTCAGTGACACCAATAACCATAAATATTTTCTTAATAACTAGTTAAGTCAAAAACAACTCTAATACACTTTTTGTTAGTTTTCTGAACCAATTTTGTAAAGAACGAGGGTTACTGTAAAATTATTCACTGACTCATAAAAAACAGTCTGTATTATAACGAATAAAAACATCACTACTTATAAAGCTCTATTGAAAACTCTCAAAGACCTATCTCAAAATTTATTGCGCCGGTGTCAATATTACTAAACTTTAACAAACTACATTCTGTTACCTTGTTAATTTGGTACATCCTAAACGACGACTCGCGGTCTATTTAAATCTATAAATACGCAATGGACTGACAGACTTCGTGTTTATGTTTAGCGAACCAATACAAAAGCTGGCTGACATGGTCGTGTATTACAAAAACGGGCTGTCAATTAAGAATCCATATAATGTTGTTTTGGTGATATTGAGCGATATGGATCTCGGTATCTATAGGACCTAAGTTTCGAGACAAACACGGTAAATTTGTCGTTATCAACAGCGTGGTTTTTGCTGGTCCTGGGTTGAAATACCGGTCAGAGACAACAAAGACAAAATTTCTTTTGTTTTTAGAAAAACAAACAATGTTTGTATAAGTTTCTACTACTTTGTACTAAATATAAATTCGTTGATATTGTTCCCGTCTCTCTGATTTTGCATCCTAACCAACTAGCTTCTGATCTTATTGAATTAATTTCATCCTTAGGTTTTCTTCTTCGTTTTCTCCTATTTCTCACTGGTGATGGTTCTTCCTCATTGTGGAATTAATTAGGTATCCTTAACCGTCACCCTTGACAGCAAATTGACGTTTTGTCACCTTTGGCTTTTCTTCCCGTCGCTGGCCTGAACTCTGAAGCCTTTACTGGTATATCCCATAGCCGCCAGTCGTCGTAAAGCACCGAAACGAATAGCAGATTTGATATTGTTTTTTTACGTTTTTCATTTATTACATTAATAGGCAACCTCTTTAGAGGGACCACTAACTAACAAATTGTGTAGGTTATAATCACTATATTATAACATACGCAGATAACTTCTTGCAAAAATATTCGGAAGTTGTCACCGTGGCGTGGTTGAAATACCTCAGAAGAAGTCGGGATTTTGTGAGTGGTACCACGACCTCACAGAATACCGGCGTGAAGTGGAAGCTCTGCTTCCGCGTTTCGTCTGGTGAGTGCAGGTGGCCGGAGGTCCAAATCCCCCCCCCCCCCCATCAACATAGTAGCGGTATTAAATGATGATAGACTACCCCAGGAGGGTACCAGCACCCCTGGAGAATCCCTCGCTGAGCATCCACGACCATGTTTCTCCACTTCTGAGCGTGGGTGCTCAGGCTGCCCCGCGTATTCTGGGGGGGGGGGGGGGGGCAAAATTCCGCTCAAGACTACTACTAGGAAAAGCTATCGGGGCAAACGGAGCAACAAGACCAAGGCGACCCCTGCCACGCTGTGTGAAATATCAGGGGACTTCACTCTAACCTAAACGCCGTCCACTACCATCTCGAGATGGCGAGGCTGGCTCTGCTCTTCCTGACCGAGACGCAGGTGTCCTATCCGGCTGATGTCTCGTATCTCTCCTACCCGGGGTACAAACTTGAACACTCCTTTGTGCCTCGGACTGGAGTTTGCGTTTACGTCAGAGAGGACATCTGTTCTCGACGCCTCGGCAGACTTGAAGGTTCGGACCTGTCCATCCTTTGGCTACGCGTAGACAGCGACGACCATCCGTGCGTCTACGGGTGCCTCTATAGGTCCCATAGCGGTAATGCCGAAACAGACCGACTCTTCGACCACGTCCACATGGCTACAGATTCGTTGCTACAGCAAATCCCCTCCGCAGAGATCGTGATCCTCGGCGACTTTAACGCCCATCACGCCGAATGGCTTGGTTCACGTTTAACCGATTATGCGGGGAGATCTGTTCATGATTTTGCCTTGGCTTATGGTCTGACACAACTGGTTACTTCGCCTACGCGGATTCCAGATGTACAGGATCATGCACCTTCCCTGTTGGACCTTCTGCTGACCTCTCACCCGGACGGATATCAGATTTCCGTCGAAGCCCCTTTAGGCTCCTCGGACCTTGTCTTGTCCGGATGATTTATTTTTGGAGCATATTTTTTTAATCACGCTGAAATCGCAGTTGCATTCTGCAGGCTGCCGCCGTGTTTGGCATTATAGGTCAGCCGATTGGGATGGGATGCGGTCTTTCTTTGCATCCTACCCTTGGAGGCGGGTTTGCTTCTCGCCGGACGATCCCAACGTTGTTGCGGATTCTGTCGCTGATGTGGTACTTCAGGGTATGGAACTTTTTATTCCTTCCTCTGTGGTGCCCATTGGAGGCAAATCTCAGCTATGGTTTGGTCGCTCCTGTAAAATAGCATCATGCTAAAAGCAGGAGTGCCACCGAGCCTGGGCTGATGCATCAGCGTCCCGGGATGTAAACACCAGCGCTATAAAAAAGAAGTATAATTCCGCCTCTAGGTCCTTCAAAAGAGTCATTGCCAAGGCAAGTAGTCTGAGCACATAGGCAGAATTGGCGAGAAACTAGTTCACCTTCCTTCTGGAACCTGTGCATTCTGGTCTCTCGCCAAGGCTGTCCATGGGAATTTCTGTCAGCCATCTCTTCCATCTCTGCACAGGGAGGACGACTCACTGGCCCATACCGCAAAGGAGAAAGTCGATCTTCTAGGCACTTTCTTTGCGTCCAACTCGACTCTCGATGACGGGGGGAGTACGCCGCCGACCATCTCGCGGTGTGAGTGCTCCATGCCGGAACTGCAGTTCACACAGCGCTCGGTTCGCAAAGCACTTCCTCTGCCTGGACATCCACAAGTCGAGTGGGCCTGACGGAATCCCCCCAATTGTGCTGAGAACGTGTGCTCCAGAGTTGGCACCGGTTTTAACGCGTCTTTTTCGGTACTCCTACTCCCTAGGCGTAGTCCCAAAATCATGGAAGACGGCTTTCGTCCACCCGATCCCTAAAAAAGGCGACCGCTCAGACCCGTCCAACTACCAGCCTATCGCCATCACCTCCTTGTTCTCCAAAACAATGGAGTCTATTGTAAACTGCCAGCTCATGAGGTACCTTGAGGATCACCAGCTGATAAGTGACCGCCAATACGGTTTTCGCCGTGGCCGGTCAGCTGGTGATCTTCTGGTCTACCTAACTCATAGATGGGCGGAGGCAGTAGAGTCCAAGGGGGAGGCATTGGCCGTTAGTTTGGACATTGCGAAGGCCTTCGATCGGGTTTGGCACAAAGCGCTTTTTTTGAAGCTCCCTTCCTGTGGGCTTCCCGAGAAATTGTGCGATTGGATCACCAGCTTTCTTGCAGATCGGAGCATCAAGGTCGTTGTAGACGGTGCAAGCTCCGATTGCAAGCCTATTAATGCTGGTGTTCCACAAGGCTGCGTGCTATCGCCAACGCTGTTTCTTCTGCATATCAATGATATGTTGCAAACCCGTAACATTCATTGCTATGCAGATGACAGCACTGGTGATGCTCTTTATACCGGCCGAGCCAATATTTGTCGGGAAAACGTCTCCGAGTGCCGCGACAAACTTGTGTCTGAAGTCGAGGGGCGACTAAATCTAGTCCAGTTTAACCCCCAGAAGACACAAGTTTGCGCGTTAACCGCTGAAAAGAACCCCTTTGTCGTATCTCCTTAGTTTCAAGGCACTCCCCCTTGTTGCCTCAGCCAGTATCGGAATCCTCGGCGTTGACATATCGAGTGACGTGCAGTTTCGTGGTCACTTGGAAGAGAAGGCCAAATTGGCCTCTAAAAACTTTACGTGCTCAGCAGAGCGGGACAGTATTTCATGCCGGCACACCGCCTGCGACTTTACAAGGCGCAGGTTCGGCCGCACATGGAATACTGTTTCCATCTCTGGGCTGGGGCTCCCCAGTACCAGCTCCTTCCACTTGACCGCTTCCAGTGCAGAGCGGTTCGAATCGTCGACGACCGAGTGTTTTCCGATCGGCTCGATTTACTGGTACTGCGAAGAGATGTTGCATCTCTTTGCATTTTATTTCGCATATACCATGGAGAGTGCTCTGAGGAATTGTTCGAATTAATCCCAGCCGCCAAATTTCGTGAACGCACTACGCGGCAAACGTCCCGATACCATCCACACCATCTGGATGCTTGGCGGTCCACCACAGTACGTTTCAAAAGGAGTTTTCTTCCGCGTACAACCTCTCTGTGGAATAGTTTACCGATACGACCTGGGGACCTTCAAGAAAAGAGCTTACTCCTTTCTAAAGGGCCGGCAACGCACCTGTTCCCCTGGTGTAGCGGTTGATCATGGGCGGCGGTAGTCACTTAACATCAGGTGAGCCGCATGCTCGTTTGCCCCCTCTTCTATAAAAAAAACAGGATCGACTCTTAACTCGCAAAAAAAATTTACGATCTATTACGAATTAATTTTTGAGAAAGACTGCGCTAGCTTTGTCTTTGTGGTGTATCTTTTTAAATTGGAGGCTACACCTGCATTTTAAAAGCTTTTCGTGTATCTTTTGTCTATGATTTATCAGTTTTAACTTTGCAAATAAATAAAAAGTGAAAGCCCTTTTTGTTTTTGTTAATGTATTTGTGCTATATGGAACTGGTACTATTTGAGTAGCGAGCTAATATATTAGAGACTCACCCCTTCTTTGTCCGAATAGTATCACTTAATTAAATTACAGTAAGTAAATACAGTAAGTTAATAAACGTCATTAAGATTTAATATAATCAAACATCATTTATTTTATACATTTTTGTAAACTTTGTCGCGGTAACATCAATTTCCTAACGTGGTAGAGCCACGCTGCAGTTATATTATGGTGGCAGCACAAATGGATCGGCTCAAGCGGTAAAGGACCACGCTCTAATAGAATACTAGCGTAAAATAGCAGCTTAATACAGATACTGCTATGTTTCATGTAGTGAGTGTAGAGAACCTGAGACCTTTTTACTGGTAAGGTAACTGATATCTCTGATTTAATCTTAGTCTTCAGAGGTGTCATCACATCTACATTCTGATTCTTCATCAAGGATTTGTGTATAAATGGGATACTGCAACCACTTTATATTTTTACATTTAGTATTTTTAAACTACCTATTTTATTTAAAAAATAGTAAATTTAAATAAATCAGACGCAGTGGAAGGAAAAAAACTTAAGCCAAATTTGGTAAAGTAAGAAAATGTTAGCATTCATTTTCCAAAACTAAAACCTAGACATAGAATCAATGAAAAACAAAGAAAGTCATGGCTTCTCGTTAGATACATAGGTATAGAACTTTCTAAAAGAACACTAAAGTCATTAAAAGCTGTAAGCATATTTTTAGTTAATCCATCAATCGGAGTAAAATTCAAAGTAGACATGGAACGAGTAGTGATTCGCCGAGTACTCGGCCACCGAGTACTAAATTGGGCCGAGTACTCGGCCAAATACTCGGCTTTAAAAAACGCGGTAGAAAAATTATTGATATTAGGAAACACATAAAAAAGTTAATTCAAAACATGCTTCTTAAAAAGAAAGAAGCTGCTGACATCAACAGTAACAACATCAACCTGTTGCCAACTTAATGATGCTAAGAATTCCGCTGCAGTAGAGTTAGATACTTAAGCGTGTATTACTTAAGCGTACCAAGGGCCGCAAGAGATGCAAATCCATATAAATGGTGGGTTTCTAATAAAGGCTATTACCCCATCTTGGGAAAAGTTGCGGCTCAATACTTATCAACACTCGCCAGTTCAGTTTACAGTGAACGACTTTTTTCAGAGGCGGGCTTAGTATGTGAAGCAAAAAGGAGCAAACTAGACCCAAATAGGGCCGAAAAACTAGTGTTTTTGCGTCACAATCTTCCTCTCTTAAATTCTAAATATCGGTAACAATCATTTCAATTATATATTGTTATGTACGTTCTCAATATTTCTGCTGTTTCTCATATTCCTGATGTTCTAATGTGTATAATGTGCATAATAATAATGATAAAAACTTTTTGAAAAAAGGCTTTTTGTCTTTATTTTTTTCTGGAATATAATTAAGGCCATGTACTCGGTACTCGGCCGTTAATACTCGGTGTTCGGCCGAACCCGCCGAGTACCGAATCCAAATCGAGTACTCGTCCCACGTCTAATTCAAAGTATTCCGGGATTCGCGATCTCAAGAATTCACTAATCTGAAATATATGAACCGATTACGACAGAAATGCATGTAAGTCTGTAAACAAACATATTCAGGATCAATGCCACAAAACACAAATCCTCAAAAATGAACATCTATTGATTCATAAGGCTCTAGAAATAAGAAAAACATGCTTGGGATCCTATAATTAATTAAACTAAATCCCAACTCAAGAATACTTGTATAAAACTTCAAGATACCGTAAGTACATTCTGCGTAGATCGTACCAAAGAAAAGCTTTCGAGAAATAATTAATCATCCAAACACAGACTTTTAAAATACTAAACTAAGACAGATGTTTCTGTAAGATCTTTCCCTTTTCAACATCTTTAGTTTAATTGTACACTAAGCACTTATAAGCATTTACTTAAAATCTTTTAAAAAATAAACGGGCAACAAAAACTAAAAGGAACAAGGAACTTACGACATTAATTTCAGAGGTCATGTTTTAGAAATGTCATAACCATTCGTTAACGTCACACCTGAAAAATTCCATTTTGACTTTAATGATCATAATTCTAGTCTCTAAGGTCATTCGTGTGGAACGTTCATACTACGTGCTTGTTATCATTATAAGAATCGCCGCATATAATGCAGTAATTACTAGCTTACCATATTTCTTCTTGTTAACTGCGTGACCAAATGTCGCTACTTAGGTAACATGCAAATTATCAATTTTTGAGGCACAGTTTCTTGCAGATTACCGTCGATAGTGATCAAATATTCTTGGATATCTATAGTAGCAGTAATAGAGATCACATTTTGTGTAGTAATAACCGGCTCAAGATGTCTTTGGTGACAGATTGGAGAAAGACTTTGTTCAGCAGTGTATATGATGAGTGATAATTAATGTATGTGATGTAACGTAACGTATAGCCGTCCCACTGCTGGGTACGGGTCGTCTCTTATTTCTGTAAGGATTTTAGGGGAAGGAAAATTTCGCCCTCATCCCTAATGCGTCTTGGTGCAAACGTGTCTTGATTTTTTTTCTCAGAAATGCAGTTTTCCTCGCAATGTTTTTTCTTACCAGCGCGAGCGTGATGCCAGCGGCCATTGCTCGCGTATTGTGAATTTACAACTAACCTTTAGCCATAGTAAAAACAGAATAGTAGGAGTTTTCCCGTGCCGTGCGAGACTTAAATGCCTACTGTTGCAAGGTTGTCACTGTCTTTTTGTTTAAAAGCTAGGTCTCATTTAGTATTATAAGTAGTTATAATACATATTTACAAACACAATACATACGGATACGTACGTACCTATGCATTATATTTGTTAATCATTTCTTTAGTTTTCTCTCAAAGAATCAAAGTCTGTTAAAAAAAATCCAGCTTTACTTTACAACAAATGACAAGTAATTTAACACTGAGCATAATGTTTCAGCTCAGATTTAATGTTTAAAATTAATTTCATGTGATTTAATATGATAATTAATGTACTTGTGAGGTATGTATTTAGGTATAGATATAGTAATATAACCTTATTAATAAGGCTTATTTACTTAAACAAACCCATATATTAATTTATTCTACAAAAAGAAAAATAGAACGAAAAAAAGACTGCTTTTATTAAAAGTCTACAAAGTCTCAAACAAAGGTGATTGCGGAGCGCGGCCATGGCCGTACCCGACTCAGCAAGTGTCGTTGTGTGCGTGCTGTGGTTCGTGCGTATGAGTCCGTACTGTCTCGTGTCAGGCACGCACAAATATTAGCGGCGTTCGGTACATTTCTTAGAAGATAGCCTACTATTCTGTTTTTACTATGTTTTAGCCTCCTTATGGACTAATATCTATGTGCACAGAAATCTCAAAACTCCTTTTTGTATAATTGCACAATTCATATAAACGTAGGAACGTATCCTTTCGTTCACCCACGTGATAATCTGACACATTGTCAACTACGAAGTTGGTACTTCTACTAAAGTTTTGACCAAACATGTAACGATATTACAAAATATACGCCACATCGCCAATTTATTAAGTTACGAATATAAAAAACTGTAATTTAGATTAAAAGACAATAATATTTATGTGAGACATTTAACTGTTATGGATTTCAAACTCTACAACCGATTCCAAAACTTAGATCTTTACAAAGAAGAAATGATAAGAAACTGAGAGAGCATGACGTTAGAAAAAAAATCCATCAGATTTATAGCGTTGGTATGAAAATGTAATAAAATTAGGCCAAAAACAGTATACGTTGTTCACACACAAGATTACGACGGGGGGCACAGGGGACTGCGTGGGAGCGAAGGTAGCACAGGCCGTGAACCCATGGCTATCACCGTCCTTTGATCGGACTTCGATCTCAAGTACAATCGCGAACACTCATTTAAAATAATTAATTATCTAATTGTAACTACTCGGCGTATTATAATTGTAACTTATTTGATTATTACACAGTCACCTTTATTTACCGGCTCCAATAGTCTTTTGAGCCGGACCATTATGTATGAGCCATTAAATAAACGCAGTAATTACAAAAAATTAACTGCTACCTTCGAACATTCCAGAACGATGCGGCCCAGTTCTCGGCGGAGGCACCGGACCCGAGGTGGAGCCCCCGCAGCCGCTGGTCACTCGCGAGCCTACGGTGTCACTGATGCGCTGGGAACGACCGACAACCGAACGCCGGCGCACCGAGCCTGTCTCTCTAGCCACCCTCGAGAAAGACTGCTTCGTGATACCAGCCCACGCTCTTGACAGGTTCCTGCCTGACGGAGTACCGGTGAGTTGTGTAAGCTTATAACTATGTCATCATCATCTATTTATCACACCTCTTTGATTTCTTTAATCACTGGAGGAATAAGGCGTATGTATCTGACGTCACGGTGATTCCCACAATCAGCTCATGCTATTATTGTAGAATTAAGGTGACAGTCCACCCAATGGTAAATGGATGCTGTGGCTTACAGACACTCCTTCTTCGATCAAATCAAAATGTTAAATGGTTGTAACGAAGAATGCGGAAGTATGTTACTGTGATCACCATCCACCAGCATGGCGTTTATACCATATTATACATGGGTCGATACATGGATCGATTTCTCCCGAAATCGGGAGAGACTCATATTCAGGTAAAGGAGATTTTCCAATTTTATTAAAGCAAATTGAATAGTTAAACCTACCAAGTTCAATTTTGTTCAGACCATCAAGCAATTCTCTGATTTCCGTTGACTTTCAAAGGGCTAATTGTTAGATAATTATCCGATTTTATTCCATTGATATCTACCGCTAGGAAATCCACAGAAGCTTTCCACCGTAGTCATTAATTTTATGAAAAGGGACTAGTGTGGATTGTAATGAAATTGAATTTGGTAATTTTATATCACTAAGTTAGATTTAGAGATACGTACCTAATTTTTAATATTTTTAATTAAAGATTTAAAGCAATCAATGAATACATAGGCTGCACTAAAAGTATCGGGAATGGAATATTTCCACTGTTCCTGTCATATTAAAATCTTTTTAATTAAAAACTCCTTGGTTTTAAAAATCGAATACCATTTATTTATTTAAAAAAAGATTCTCGGTCTTGTCACAAGGTTTTGTCAAACTTGTTTAGTCGTTGAGAAAATGGAATTAACTTGAGAAAATTCAAGAGCGATGATTTATTATGACTTTCGAAGTGGTTTAACACAAAAACAGTGTGTTGACCGGATGATTTCTGCATTTGTTGATGAAGCCCCATCCAAAACCACAATTTATCGCTGATTTTCTGAATTTCAACGTGGACGTGTCAAGCTCAGTGATGATCCCCGTTAAGGTCGTCCAAAAACTGCAGTCACCCAAGAAAACGTTGATGCTGTGCGTAAGCTGATTGAGGAAGATCGACATGTGATATACCGCGAAATTCAAGCAACTTTAGACATTGGTATGAGTCAAAAATAAATAATCTTGCATGAGCAATTAGGTGTAAAAATTTTTTTCCCAATGGATACCGCATTCGCTCTGTGAAGAGCAAAAAGCGGCTTGCGTTAATTGGTGCGTCAGAACTCTCGAAATATTCCACGCAGGATCCTCAAATGCTGTATACTACATCATATCAGGTGACGAGTCTATAATATACGTGTACGAACCCGAAACAAAAAACCAGTCACGAGTTTGGGTGTTCGAAAATGAGTTAATGCCAACAAAAATTGTTCGTTCACGGAGTGTTGCATAAAAAATGGAGGCCACGTTTGTCTCCAAAACCGGCTATGTTACGACTATTCCTCTTGAGGGACAAAGAACGGTTAATGCAGAATATATGCTAGCATTTGTTTGCCACAGGTCGTTTCTGAACTCCGTAAAGAAAACTGCAACCGCCGCATCATCCTCCATCACGACAATGCGAGTTCTCACACCGCACACAGAACAAAAGAGTTTTTGGAGCAAGAAAACATAGAATTATTAGACCATCCGCCGTACAGCCTCGACCTAAGCCCTAATGATTTCTATATTTTCCCTAAAATAAAAAATAAATTGCGTGGACAAAGATTTTCATCACCTGAAGAAGCTGTGGACGCCTACAAAATGGCCATTTTGAAGACCCCAACTTCCGAATGGAATGGTTGCTTCAATGATTGGTTCCATCGTATGGAAAAATGTGTCAAATTTCGCGGAGAATACTTCGAAAAGCAATAAATACATCTTTAAATAGTAATGTTGTGTCACTTCCTTGATTCCGGAAATTTTCAGTGCCGTAAAATAATTGAAAACTAACTAACAAATACTATCACAATAATAGTATATACAGGCTGTTAAATTAATTTGTAGGCCAACATAAATTATTTTTTAACCAATTCAAGATAAAAAGAAAAAAAAAGTTCTTAGAAAACTAAAAGAGAATAAAATAATTTCCAGATAATGGTGTGTAATCATATGTAACGTCCATATCACACCTATACCGACAGTTGTTGGAAACTATATGCTCGAAGTTGTCGACGAGAATGTTTACCTAGGACAAATAGTCCAACTAGATAAATCCAACTTCGACCGTGAGGTCAATCGACGGATTCAACTCGGCTGGGCCGCGTTCGGGAAATTACGACAGATCTTCTCGTCAAGTATACCTCAAAACTTAAAAATGTGATTTTATAACCATTGCGTGTTGCCAGTAATGACGGATCTGAGACGTGGTCCTTCACTTTGTATAACACACACGTATAAGGACTCTCAAGGTCTCACTCAGCGAGCTATGGAGTCGGCTATACTCTTGATTTCTCTGCGTGACAGACTTAGATATGAGGATATCCGCGGTAGAACCACAGTAACCGACATAACCCAGTAAGCTGAAATGGCAACGGACCGGCCAAATAGCTCGAAAAACCGACAACCTATGAGAAAGAAAGGTTCTTGATTGGCAGCCTTTTACTGGTAAGCAACGACGACGGTGGCGAACTGATTAATCGATGGATACAGGTGACTCAGTACCGTGCTTTGTGGCATTCCTTAGGGGGTTCTATGTTCAGCAGTGGACTTACATAAGAACTGTAATGGTTATTGTAAATTGGTTTTAAATAAAAATAGTTTCTAAAGTCAGGACTTCACAAGATTAATTTATTTTTTTAAAGTGGATTTATCATTTTTTTAAGTTTAATTTTTTGTAATGATTTCTTAAATTTACGCGAACACTACACATTGAATAAAACTATTATTTACGGATTTTATCGCGTTTAATTACTTTAATTTATTTTTATTATTATCCCATTACAGTCCCCCCCCCGTGACTTTACGCGTTTAATTACTTTAATTTATTTTTATTATTATCCCATTACAGTCCCCCCCCCGTGACCATGGGCGCTGTAAAGCACCCGAAACGTCGGGATAATAATAAAAATAAATTAAAGTAATTAAACGCGATAAAATCCGTAAATAATAGTTTTATTAATTTTTTGTCTCTTTTTTTTGTGGACTAAGCAACATCTAGAGTACCCACATTTAGTTTTTACATTAAAAATTTCACTCCCATTTTTTCTTTAAAAATTAGGCCACTCTTGAGTGAGTATATAATATATTTATTAAAAAAAAATAATCAAAGTTTTAAAGGAGTTAAAGTCGGTTCAAAATAATTGCAGAAGATGTTGCGTAAAACATGTACGCGTGATATGTACTTGTTACGGCCCTCAATTACCCCGACAAAGGTCGACTGAATTAGGGCCCATAGTAATCCAACTCGACGAGTAACTGAGGGGAGGGCCCAAGAGCCTATGGATAATTAATTTATCAAAACTTACCGAATTCCAGAAGTAGGCTCTACCACAAGGTGGCGTCAGGGGCAAGTAAATGGTAGTGTGTGTGTAGTGTAGGAAAGTGTATAAAGTAACCTGACGTCACCGATGTAATCAGATAGCAGAACCGCATGCGCTGCCCAGCTTCTCTTGTGCAATCAATCCAGAGGGCGTTAGCTGCTATCGGAACTAAAGTCCAACGTCACTTAGCACAAATATAATCGGAGGGAACGCGATCTCCTCCGGATCACAAAGTTTAGCGTCCCACGCGCAAAGCAAAATTCCTTCTTACAATTTTAACTACACGAGCCACTCGTCGATGCAAATTGATAGCAATCTAAGTTAATTCAATAATTCAAATATCAAAAAGCCTCGTTGTTACGTATATTAACGACAAAATACAACACCATGGAGGCCGTCTTTTTTCGACGCCGTAACCGTTATCAAAATTGCGACCTCTAAGCGACCCGGGCGTCGCGCAAATCGAATATTTTAGTCTAATCTCGCGACCCCAACCAGCGCGGCTTCAGCGCTCCAAAGATCCCTGCCGAATGGGACCCTGGCAGCGCCGTACGTACACAGCAAGCCTCCCCTTCCCGCGCAACGCTAACCGGTTCCTCATCCGAGACGCGCCTTGCGAGCTTCAAATGCCACAACTTGGCGTAAACAAACCCCGTCCCGGGCATAAGGGCTTATGCCCGCGAGTAAATTACAGAACACGGTGGCAAACTCTTCAAATGTCTATTTAGACATTTGAAGAGTTTGCCACCGTTTGGATCCGGTCCGGCAAACCGCGACGCGATATGAAGCGGCCCAGCGTGGCCACAAAGGCTTCAGTGCTGAGGGCAATTACAAGTTATAAGTGAACGGCCTTAGTGGCGAGGCACACGAAAACGCACAATAGGCCTTATGTGAACGCGCGTTACGTAGGTTGGGGGACTTGACGAGGAAGGGGTCAGCAAAGTCGGTTCCAACTCCAGCGAATGGTTGGATGGCCCTGACGCGGTCGGGTGGTAAGTCACCCATCATCGGCTGCGATATGGTGGCCTTCAATTTATAACAAGGTAGCACTTAAAAATGACGCTCCGAATGGTGTGTCAGCCAGCCAAAATCCAAAACTCCCGCTGCAAAATAGCCGAACGAGCGTTACACCCAGCGTGAGCATTCTAAACATGATGGTGAGTTACCAGCAACCGAAGCACAAAATTAAGGTACAAGAAAAAAAAACACAAGAACAAAAACAAAAAACAAAAGGGACATATTTTAAGAGCTACATCGTAAAAATGTAAAATATCACAAACTCTGATAGTAAGCTCAACTAACAATCTTTCGACATATAACGTTGAATGTAACGTTTGTTGTAACGTTTGAATATAATAAGTTACTCAAATATTTTATCTTCAAACAAAACGTCAGATATTTAGAGCCCTAGTCTTCCAACCAATCAAGTGGAGGCCACACAGCTTGTGAACCCGAATCCGATAGAGCGCGAACCGTTAAACAGTCACCACTCAGGTTGTACGCCTTCACTGAGGCCGTCGGCAATAGAACAGTTTGACAAGTGGACTTTTGACGGCTAGTGGATTAGTAGAGGCGGCCATGGTGGGAGTTAGGGCGGCTGCTATCTAGTTGTAGCGGCCTCCATCGGACCGGCACTCGAACCGGGGGTCCCGAAAGCGGCATTCAGGCGGCCTCTCAATGACCCGTGGTTGAAATTCACCCAACGGGCCGACCTGGGGAGTTTCGGGGAACCTCGGCCTTGAGGCCCGGAACAAATTCGAGGTTGCAAGAACCCCGTAGTATCGGTACCGACCAAAGGGGGGAGGGTGGTACTCCAGTCGCGGCCTCTCAGCTAACGGGGGTGAGAAAGGTCTAGCGGACCGCTGAGTGGCCGTGAAGTTCCTCTTCACTCGCTGAGGGGGGTAACGATCCCCCCCCGGGGGGAACGACCACCCGACTGGTAGGGGGAGGGACCCCTTCAAATCCAGGGGCACGGTGGTCGGCAGGGGAGCGCCGAGCGTCGCCCGACAGAGGGAATGGCTGAGCGCCCCCGCCCGTGGGGGTTGAGGGCCCGGCAGAGCCCCGGGAGGAAGCGCCGTTCGCACCCAGGCACAAAGCGGCATGGTGATTACCCTGGCAGTGCGAACAGGGCTGCTGGTGCGGGCAGTCTCGTTGGAGATGCCTTTCCAAACACGAGTAGCACCAGCGGCGCTCCTTGGCAATGGTTCATCTCGCTGGGACCGGCTTACTCAATAATTTCAGGCACAATGTCACCCGATGATCGGATACTCGACAATAGGAGCAGGGGGGTGCCTCCCTGGCCACTAGGCCACTATAAGATGGTAGGGGGCGGTGCCCTCCCGCGGGAGCTCGCTCGGCCTGAGGGGGGTTGGCGACGATTTGCCCGGGGGATTCCGCTTCTCCCTGGGCAAGGCTCGGTTGGTAGTCTGGTAGTTTGTAGGTCGTCGACGGGGCCCGATGCGTTTTCAATCTGCCTGCACTGCTCCTCCAAGAACCGCAGCAGGTCCCTGAAGTGAGACGCCGTCCCCGCCGTACCTCTCCTCAAAATGGAGCCGAAGATCGAGAGGCAGGCGGGACAGCACAATGTGGAGCAACAAAAAGGACCATTCGTCCACCGGTAAATCCAGCCGCCTCAAAGAATTACAGGCCACCAAGACTGGATTTACGATGTCCGGACGTAGTCTGGCCCGGTCCTTAAGCAGCGGGAGGTTTAGCAGCTGCTTGACGTATTGGTCCGCAAGTCGCCGTACGTTGGCGTACCTTCCGGCGAGAAGATCCCGAGCGGTCTGGTAGGCGTCGTCCGACAATTTCAGATGGCCGACGACGCCCAGGGCCTCCCCCTCTAGTGAGGCCAGGAGGTAAGCCATCTTCTGGCTTGGTGTCAAGTCCCTCCGGGTGTCCACTAGGCTGTCAAAAAGACCAACAAAGGTCAGCCAGTCAGAAAGGACCCCGGAGAACCTTGGCAGGTCCAGAGTTTGGAGTCGTCCCAACAGCTCCGGCTGAGTAGGCTGCTTCCGAGGGGACTCGAGCAGGCAACTCAGCCGAACTTCACGCGCTTCATGAGCATACTTGGCCCCCGCCTTGATCAAGTCGTCCGTAAGCGAAAAAAATTGCTCGTAGTCCGCGAGGCAGGAGTTTAGGACTCCCTGTTCCGCTCCCGAGGTCAAAAGCTCAGTGAAAGCCTCCTCCACTACGGCCCTTCGGGCCATGACCTGCTCGAGCCGCTTCTCTAAGCTATGGACCCGATCGGGTCGCCCTAATAAAGTGTGGGCGTTCGCGGCCCAGCGCAGCTCCGCCTGCATGCGAAGCGCCGGTGGCTTGGGCGATGGCATCACTATTAGATACAAATACTACTAAATTAAATCAAACACAATTACACTAGACAATTAATTTAATTAATACAATTACTATTAATTAAATTAAACACAATTACACTACACGGCAAGTACTCACTACAGTCGGTAAACAAGGATACCACGCTGAGGCGACCGACCCTTCGGCAATTTAATCTACAATACAAATACAAATACAAATACTAAATACAAATACCGGACACGTAGGTACCGTACTCTAAACTACACTCGTACCGGCCTAACGGGTGTGGCTCTTACCACCGATCCGCTAACAAAACAACAAAAAATTATTATTATATTACGGCAGGGCATGATTGTCAAAACAATCAACCACGCCCTGCTACCAGCAATGTCCCGGGGTTGATTGTTTCTACCTAACCACGCTCTGCTACCAGCAATGTTACGGCCCTCAATTACCCCGACAAAGGTCGACTGAATTAGGGCCCATAGTAATCCAACTCGACGAGTAACTGAGGGGAGGACCCAAGGGCCTATGGATAATTAATTTATAGTGGCTAGATACACAAACACAAAACTTACCGAATTCCAGAAGTAGAGTCTACCACAAGGTGGCGTCAGGGGCATGTAAATGGTAGTGTGTGTGTAGTGAAGGAAAGTGTATAATGTAACCTGACGTCACCGATATAATCAGATAGCAGAACCGCATGCGCTGCCCAGCTTCTCTTGTGCAAACAATCCAGAGGGCGTTAGCTGCTATAGGAACTAAAGTCCAACGTCACTTAGCACAAATATAATCGGAGGGAACGCGATCTCCTCCGGATCACAAAGTTTAGCGTCCCACGCGACAAAACAAAATTCCTTCTTACAATATTATCTACACGAGCCACTCGTCGATGCAAATTAATAGCAATCTAAGTTAATTCAATAATTCAAAAATTAAAAAGCCTCGTTGTCACGTATATTAACGACAAAATACAACACCATAGAGGCCGTCTTTTTTCGACGCCGTAATCGTTATCAAAACTCGCGACCTCTAAGCGACCCGGGCGTCGCGAAAATCGAATGTTCTAGTCTAATCTCGCGACCCCAACCGGCGCGGCTTCAGCGCTCCAAAGATTACGTACGCGCACAGCAAGCCCCCCCTTCCCGCGCAACGCTAACCGGTTCCTCACCCGGGATGCGCCTTGCAAGCTTCTAATGCCACAACTTGGCGTAAACAGTACTAAACAGTACTAAACTAATCTTAGTTAATGTGTTTTTTAGCTACCAGTGCCACCACCTACGCCAGAAAAGGGTATAACAACCAAAACAACCCAAAACTCGCTGAGCATCCTTGAAATTGCAGACCCCAAACTATGCATATTGGCGCATTTGATGAGCCCGTTGGAACCTATAGAGCCAATACTAGAATCGCCGCTTACCAAACCTTTGATCAAACAAAAGATGGCCGCTGGGGAGCTGCTGACTGACATTGCCCAAGCCAATACAGCTGTGGGTGGTATGTTATTAGCGAACATGGAGAAAAATTCCGAATTTCCGTTCATATCGTATTATGTGATAAATACAACGCAAACCGATCCGTTGCTATTTTACAACAACTTGAGGTGTGCTTCATTGACCAAGTTTGATCCGAAAACTATCAGATATACGGCTGCTCACACTTTGGATTTGTACAGCGAAGTAGCTATGATCTGCCGACCGCCTTTCAGCGATTTAGCTGGAGGACCGAAGAAATCGCACACGCCTACTACTGGATTTATAATAAGTGTTTATAAGGTGAGATTGAATTTAATATTTGTTATTATTCTTTTAATTAACCTTTTAATACTACCAATCAAGCACAGGACTAAAAGGGCTAATTAATTATATTTATTATTTTTCTTTATTAACTGGCTTTACGGCTCTGATTTCTAGACCTTCTGATCCTATCCTTTCTTTTGGAATCTTCATTTTATGTTCTTTTTCTTCACAATATGCTGATGCGTCACATTGCGAAGCCCTTGGGAGATATTTTGACGACAGCTCAACCTAGCGGACAGTTGATGATGACAGCCACTCAAGCTCATAAGGCGCCCAAGCGATCGGAAGAACTTGAGGTTTATATCGACATCAAAGCACTTGTTTCGTCGTTTTCTCTAATAGTTCACACGCGCGGACACTTAATTCGCAAAATCGCATCACTTTTACGAATCAAAATCCACTTCAAACCATTATTCAAGTGACAAAACATGAGCGACAATCCATCTACGGCCAAGTTCCCGCCAAATCCTTATATTTATTAGTAGCGCGACCACAGATTAAATAACATTTCTCTCACAAGTTTGTTGTCCATTTCCTGTTATTTTATTTAATAATTGCATATTCATCTAGTGTTACATGAAACAAGATAGATTAAATCGATTATACTCAGGTCAAATGATCGGATACGCAATTTAAAACCTCTGACATAACAAACGAGGTGATTATAAAAATTTTGTTGTTTTTTCTTTTAATTCTTTTAATTTTTTCTTGCGGAAATACAGCATAAACTGCTGTAGCACCACTGCGTTTTTGGCGGGCATTTGACCGTCGGCGGATTGTTGCTCCTGTTTTATCGTTTATTTAATTGTTTGAATTTTTCGGCTTTTGATTAATTAGAATGATGCGATTTTGTGTATTAGGTGTCTGCGCATGTAAACTATTAGTGAAAACAAAGAAACATTTATACGCGGTAGAGCAATACTGCAATTATTAGTAGTATAGTTGTAGCACGAATGGGTCGGCTCGAACGGGGAAGGATCACGCTCTCACAGAATACCAGCGTAAAATCGTAGCCGAAGACTCTTTTTACTGGAAACGAGGCATTCTATTTTAGTCCTCACGGGAGACAACGCATCTGCATTTCGATTCGTAATCGAGGATAGGTTTAGATGTTTATGGGCCACAGCAACCGCTTACCATCAGGTGGACTGTGTGCTCGTTTGTCACCCTAGCCTATAAAAAAAAACAAGAGCTCCGATTTTGATATTAATCTCAAGTTATTTTGTTCGCTTATTCGCCTAACGAACTTGAGATACCGTCATCATCGACTTACCATTGGGTTAAACTGTCGTCAAAATCTCCCAAGAACATTTCAATATGACGCATCGGCATATTGTAAAAAGATTTTTTTTAAATCTCGATTGAAATGAAGATATGGCCTAAAAGACAAGCATCCAAGCCAAAAATCTTAAAATAATGATAAAAAATAACACCAAGCACCACAATTGTTTGTTTTTTGGCGCTATAGCTGGCCACTTCTTGTGAATGGTTGATAAGAGAACGGGCAGAATATCGGGGCTGTGGTTATTACTTTTTACACCGCAGCACAATGCTGAGTTGAGTGCCTATTTGTTGCTGCATATTTAATATATTACTTAGTCAGGTTATAAGTTCTGTCTGAAAAACTTTTTCTAAAATTAATGATACACTTTTTGTTAATTATATAGAAATTGTATATTAATTGAAAGGTAATTTAATTTAAAATACAACTTTATTTACATTATTCAAAATGAAAACATGCCCTTAATCGACGCGGCCAATCATCAATCACAGCACGCACCAAACTCATATCTATTTCTGCCGCTGCTTTAGCCAAAGATGCTTGGAGAGACTCCAAATTCTGATGAGATTTAGCTCAGACATTCTCCTCCAAATGTTGTCATATCTTGTAATCCGGTGTGTCAGTCCAATCTGAACTAGAAGAGGGCCAGTTTCCATGTCCGTAAAGTCAATTCCATGTGCGGTCAACCACTTTTGCGTGCTTCGTGCCCTATGAGCTGGTGCAAAGTCCTATTGGAATGACCAATGTCTGTTTTTGAACATTATTTGAGAAAGAGGTTCCACTACGTTTGTTAGGACAGTATTTTGGTACATCTCGGCACTGATTTTTACACCTTTTTCACCAGAAAAACGCCTTAGTTAAGCCTGAATATGAGACTCCAAGCCAAACCATGAGTGACGAAGGATAATGTGCTCGTTAAACCCTCGGAATACGCGTACTGGCTTTTTCACTGCTGTGGGTATATATACCTTATAATTTTTTTTTTATTATAACTTTTTCGATGTTAAAATTTTTTTCATCCGAAAACAAAATTTCGCAGTATTTTTTCCCGCGTACCGCCGTAAGCGCGGGATCTATCCAGCCAAATTTTTTTCAAACGCTCGTTCAAAAATGTCCGGTCTTCTTACGATAAGCTCGTAGTCCTAGGTCTTCATTGATCACTCTTTTGACCTTGGTTCTGCATAGGCCCATCTGAAGAACTAAGATTTTTTGTTTATGAACAGATTTCGTTGGATTCGAGCCTTCACTGCTTTGATGATCGCGGGTGTCCTAACTCTACGAGGTCAACCGGTCCTCTTACGATCTTCGAAGCTTGAATTTTCAGTGAATCGCTTGATAGTGCGATAAACAAATCGTAGGGTTATTTTCAATTTTTGTAGAATATTGAAAATCTCGTTTGGCGGTTATCTTCTTTCTTCAACCACTCCATATTTTAAAATGAATGAAAATTGATGTTTTTTTTATTTTCGGCAAGCGCATACGTTATATTTTTAAAATTAGTGAAGTTCATCTATCCAGTATTCAAAAATTTTAAATAATAAGGTTTTGACAGAACTTATGACCCGACTAAGTATATTCCTGTGATGCAATTATTTAAAAAGTACCTTTAAATAAAGATTATTTCTTTCTTTCTTTCTAGTTGGCGGCAGAAATAATTAAGTACTTACGACTTAAGGGCAGAAAAGGTGTCCTGCCAAACAAAAGTCTTGTGACCAGGAAGATAATGCTGTCCTTCTCCCCCTGTCGTCTCTTTTTTTATAATATAAGACATACGAGCACACAGTTCACCTGATGTTAAGTGGATGCTGTGGTTCATAGATATCTATCCTCGATTAAAAATCCCTGAAGACTAAGATGCAATGCCTCGTTTCCAATAAAAGGGGTCTAAAGTATTAAGCTGCTATTTTACGCTGGTATTCTTACTAAACCCACGGAATCACACGTAGTGGATTTCCTAACGCTGCGGTGGCGACGGTTATTAAACAATTGGTAACAGTTGAATATTTTTTATTTCAGGTTTTTGAAGGCGACGACGGTGAACGATTCGAAAGGAACTGGCTGTACTGGACAGGTGCAAGAATGATATACAGACATTTACCACACACTGTTGGTATGCGAAAGATAGCTCTGCATAAATCCGTCGCGTCTCATGGTGACAAAATGTACTTATTGGTGTGCGAGTGTGCCAACTTATTGGACGACTTGTCCGGCGCAGCCATGTTGGTGACAGCACTGCGCGCGCGCTTGTGCGGTTACACGGGCTTGTACAAACCGATACAAACGTTCTAGTAGAGGGAACAAGGCCTAATAGGCCTTGGTTGTGCTGTTCTCTAGACATTGCATAATAATTTTGATTAAATGAAAGTGTTATCTACGCAAGGGATTGTTACAAGTTATTACGTTTAATATTTACACATATAAATGATTAAATTGCAATAGTTTAATCATAGGGATTCGAGTTTTATTGTCTATTAAAAACACAGTTAACGAAAATTAATTCAATAATTTATTGTAGTCATTACATATAATGTAAATTATAGTTGCTTAATTAACAAACGAATTATTGCCGATTTTTGCCAACTACTGTACTGTACTGTATTACTACAAACATGTTAAATTATACATAATGATAGCTGAGGGAATAAGCGCCTTAAAATTTTATAATTAGCAAGGAAATTAAATTTCGATCCAATGAAGTTGTTAGTTGCAGTTTTAAATGCTGACTTACCACATACTACATGTATATCAGCATTTAAAATTACAATTAACAATTTGGTGCAATCTGCATGTCTCAATATTTAAAAAGGAAATAGTTCGAGGTTTTTTGAACCCTGTCTCTCATCTTCGATTTGTGGACAATATAGCGTATATGGCAGATTCCCTAGAGGGCCACAGCACTATGCTTAATTACCTAAGTAGTTTTTTTAAGTAGATAAGAGATGCAGGAAGTCAATGAGTCAATGGATGTAGGTGGCTCAGAACCACAGAAATCGTAATAATATTCCAATATGTGGGACCGGGCCATCATCACAGACAGGACTATTCTTGCGAATAAGCCTGATATTGTGCTGATGAACCGTGGACAGTCAAGGATATTTTTGATCGACATTACTATTCCGTATGACGAGAACCTCGTGAAAGCCGAAACGGATAAGCGAATAAAATATCTGGACCTGGCTCACGAGGTGACTGACATGTGTAGTTGGGTGTCGACCGAAATTATACCTGTAGTCGTTTCTGCAAACGGGCTAATCCCAATCAGCCTCTCGGGTCATCTGAGGCGGCTGGGACTCCATGACGGACCGCTCCGGGCTCAGATGCAGAAGGCGGTGCTCCTCGATACCGCCCGCATTGTCCGCCGGTTTCTTTACCTTTACCCCTAACCCTCGGCCTTTTGGTCTCTCCTGTCGAGGGCTTCCATCTGGTTGGACTTTTATTTATTTATGTAATTTTATGTATTTATTTTATTTTATTAGTATTTATGTATATTTGTCATTTTCATACACAATTATATATTTATGGAACCCAACCAGATGAGAAAACTATATAGATACCCAAAAAAAATAATATTACTATTTCTGTGCTCAGGACCATGGTTTGTCAAATTCCTTGAGGGAGGCCTGCCAGCAGCACGCCGTTACTGGGTGGTACTTTATTTATAAAACAGTTTAGTTGTAAAAGATGTGTTAAAAATTTAAATTGATTTTAGTTAAATACAATCTGATCAACAATGATTGTATACCCAGTTAACATCAGCCTAAGTTGGGAGAAATGGACCAAAGTCTTAATATATGATTATATCGTCCGTAAAGTTCACACTGAACGTATTCATTTATTAAAGTAAAGTTATGTACTTATATTCATTTACACAGTCATATATATTTAGTACCATCACCACAAAACATTGATTGGCGGTAAATATTCTGTGCCGTGCGACCAGATGTTTTAAAAATAAAAAGGGCATTAAACTTTAAAAAATATATTTCGTGTATTAATAATAGATATATATTAATTTATAAACAAAATAAAGTAGTAAACAACAGCATGTTAATTTTCTATGAATGTTTCATAAGCATTGTTGTTATTACCAAATTATATCATTTAAAAAAATTTCGTGTAGATTTCTAGGCTTTTTATTTCAGCAATGCTATATACATTTTTTATAGAATAAGGGCGACAAATATATGCTATAATATATATGGTATAATATAAATTACCTACACTTGGCACCATAACTAAACTAGTAGGATATTTTTGGTGTGACCTTAAATTATTACGATTGCGTCTGAGTATGTTATTACTCTAAAGTTTGCGTGATTAATATGTTAAGCTCGTCGTGTTCTCAGACAAGATACAGATATACAAATATTAATTGTTTAAACTTTTAGTTCATTCAACCTTGCGGTCTACTTCATATATTTACACCGTCTTTGCAAAATATGACCTTTACTATACTTAGGACTTTATTAAAACAAAATCTAGTTTAATTATTATTAAACCTATTATTAAACCGGAAACTATCTTTAACCTACGTTTAGTAATATGACATAAAGACTTAACATCAGGTGAACCGTATGCTCGTTTGCCCCCGCTCCTATAAAATAAGATCCACCTTAAAATTATCCGAGTAAGTTGTAATGCGGTGCAATTACAGTTGCCATCTTTTCATTCAATTATTGGTCAAGGCGAAGGGCGGATTCCATCGGGCTAAGTAATAATGTAGAAGCTTTGTCAGTTATTCGCGTCGTCCGTACCGCGCGTAAACCGCGTAGGGTCGATGCGCCGGTAAGCCGGCCGGATCTAGATTTCGGCCTTTGGTACGAGGTGATGCAGTAAATTTGATTTAATAACGGTTTTAATAAATGTTATCGTACGAAATGAAGTTTAATGCATTTGTAAATAGTTGCACTATATCTGGTAAAATTAATTAATCGGGTAAACACAATACGCGATTTATAATAAATAGTTTAGTTCGACGCCGCCACAGAAGCTGTCAAAACGTGTAAGATCGAGCAAAAAAAAATTGTGGTGCGCGTTCCATTCAGAATTAAGTTTCAAGTTGTATTTACTATGATTTTTTATAATGTGCTTATATTTCACCGTATAAATAACCTAATACAGTTATTTGACGTTTATTATAATAATACTTTATTGATAAAATTAATAAATTAAGTGGCCGAAAAGAGACACATTAAATTGTCCCATTATTTGGTTGTCGGCCATGCAGCCGAAAAGTAGCCCGAGTTTAGCCTAAATACTTTCTCTCTTTCATTTATTTGGTTACGTATTATAATTCATCTTTCCTATTTATTCTATCAATTCGACACTCAATATACACATTCAATACGACATTTTTCTTCAGATAGCTCCTCTAAAGAAATATAATAAGTAAATGGCTTCAGAAAATGCGGACTTTATTAAATAGATCTCATTGCAGTGGATTACTCAAAATGAGGCCAGAAAAACCTGGAAAGACTAATCGGTGATAATTGAAAGAAAGAATAAATATTTCTAAAGAAATAACTAACGCAGGCGCAGTTTCCACAAGAAAAGTTTTGAATCATTTTAAATCAACTTTGGCAGAAAATGAATAAGATAGAAGAAAGTCTTCTCAGATCAATATTGTTCCACACAGACAGGCCAACGAAGTCTTAATTCTCCAACTAAGCAACAAAAGCGTTAAGTCCATTTCAGTCTGCAGAAAGTCTGTGCAACACAGACCAAGATAAAAGTATTCTAACTCACGATGTTCTGGTAATTATTTATTCATCTACCGATGCATCAGAATCGTTGATCGATAAGAAAATTTCAACATTGCATATAGAGAGATAGATAGATAAAAACGTTTATTTGTATCTCCAATCACACACCGATCCATACGACCATATGTCAGAAAGTTAATAAAAAAATTTGTTAACAGTTCACGTGTACCTTCTTCTGCAGCAATTTCATCTGCGGTGTGGCAAAAAATTTTATGGAGATAAAGAGAAAGTTAAAATAGAGAAGTAAGGACTAAGAAATTTTGAAATAGAAAAGAATAGAAAAAGAAAAATTAAAGAGTACCAAAGTTCAAATACAAAAAATCGCTCAACCCAAGTTATCTATGAAGGTGAAAAGGGTAAGAGCAAACTGCGCCTTGTGTCATAATATTTTAATAAACGATGCAGAAGAAGATCTGGAAAAAAAATATTGAATGTGACTTTTGCACCAAATAGATGAGAGATGGCAACAGATTTGTTGAATTAAAATATGAGGAACTACAAAATTCTCGTAAATAAGAAGATATATTTAAATTATTAAATATTTAAAATTATTTTTAAAAGATTTTATTATTTGATTTAAAAGATTTTATTATTTGATTATGATTCAAAGAGAAATTATTAATCATGGTTATTATTTGATATCAAAATCACCTACAAAAAGAAAAATGTGTTACGGTTAAAAAATCGCAAGCACCGATTGAAAAAACTAAATGCACCGATTTCCCAAACCGTTTTGCCATTTTCTGATTTTATAAAAACACTTTTAAGTTTGTAATACCTCTTCTAATACAGTGGCTGAAAACTAAATTTCTTGTAGGCCGAAATCTAAAATTTGGAGCCGAAAACTAGCGTTTTGCATATTTTTCATGTCAAAAATTATTATAAAAAAAAAAGATTTCTTTTTTAGCATGAATGAGTTATAAAAATAAAAACTACATTATATAAGCTACAAATTAACATTAATAGCACTAGGTCACCATAATGGTATTTATTTTTTATTGTTCCTTAAAGTTGACAACTCCACTAAAAGGCCGAAACCTGTCAGCTTTGAAGCACATCTCGTCTCCACTCCTCTCCGCTTTGGTGGAAACCGGGCCTAACAGTACCAGTACTCAAGCTCATAATCTCTTTCTCATCTCAGGTACATAAGTATCGTAATGAAGAAATCTGCCGGCACCAACCTCATTCATTCCTTGCAGTCTGTTGAAGAAAGGCTTCCCTCATAGATTGGGGCGATATTTGTCATAGTTACCAGTCAGATTGGTAACCGCAGTGTTCTTATTATGTCAGGAAATTCTCAGTAGCTGCCCCTCTGTGCCTCGGAAAGCACGTAAAGCCGTTGGTCCTGCGCCTAATCTCTCTCCGGTCGTGTCGGTTTACCGTCCCATCGGAATATGAGATTGAGGGAATAGAGAGTACACCTGTGCTTGAGCATACACTTGAGCACTATAATCCTGTCCTGCGCCGATGGCTAGCCTCCGTTAAGGCAGGCCGCCGTGGCTGGAATTCGGTCTGAAGGACATTATT